TCACTAGCAGTGTCTGAGAGTTCCCATTTCTGCTACTCCTCACCAATAGAGGGTGAGGTATTCATGGAACAGTATAGAGCAGTTCAAATTATAGCCGGGTGCGGTGGTGTGCACCTGTAGTTCCAGCTACTTGGAAGGCTGAGGCGGAAGGATCGCCTAAGCCTAGCAGGTCAAGGTTGCGGTGGCTGTGAGCGTGCCACTGCACTCCAGCCAGGGCGACAGAGTGAGACTCCAACTAAAATAAATAAATAAATAAATAAATAAAATAAAATTAATGAACCAGCTCTATCAACACGGAGTGATCTTAAGAACATAAAGGCGAGTGAAGAAGCACTTTACAGAGCATGAAGGGGTTGTGGGGAACTTCAGCTTTATCTGTAATATTCTATTTTTTTGATTAAAAAATACTTGGAGGAAATAAGACAAAATAATGACAGACGCCAATTCAGAGCGAGGACAGGGAAATGAGAGTATCTGATATACTGTTCACAAGACTTTTCTGTGTTTAAAAAAAATCCTCAACTAAAACGGGTAACTGATGTGCAGAGATTCCCAAAATATACTAGATAACAGATTTTTTTTTTTTTTAGCAGCTTCCAGATTTGGACTCACTTTTCCTCCTACCAAAGTTCATATTAGTATCATGAATGAATACTAGCTCATATTAGTGGCTCTGGCCAGCTTTCCCTTGTGAACATTGTTTTAGAGATTGGATTAAATATCAAGGAATTTTGGAAGTTCTTATTTTTAGCCAATAAAATGAAACATCTGCAAAGAATGTAAAATAAGCACTCAAGTTGAAGCCTGTCTTGTCTGCTCCACCTAACTACAATTGCATCTAGAAACCTTTGCAAGGCTATTCTGGGCCCGGGGAGGGGGAGGTGACTCACTGTGGACCTCCCTCACCCCACCCCCCACCTGTTGATTCAGGTGAAGTCAGGTTAAAATGAATATTAAGAGACTCTTTGGAAGGGAAGAGATGTCAGAGAGTCCCTGAGATGTGGCCTTAGACCAGGGATGGTGACAGTCAGTAGCGATAGGGGTGCAAGTGACAAGCTGGCTTCTTAATTCAAGCTCACAACAATTTATCAAGTGTCCAGATTCCAGGTACAGCACTGATGTTCACAGGCCTTCTTCTGTGTTCCCACAGAGGAAGCATCTAGGGTGAGAGTTTGCAATATTTTTTATGTCCCTTTTTGACAAATGTAAAAACCTCATGCCTGCTTTTAACGTTATCTGAAATGTCAAAATAAAGACTGTGAACAAGAGGTAGATCAGATATGCTCCAAACCTCCTTGGATCTCTGCTTTAGACTGAGCTTTTCAAGTGCCAGTACTGCCTTGAAACTCCTGGAATTCTGGCAAATTTTGACTGGAAACATGATCTGATGACATCTGCCACTTAGGGCTGTTTTGTTGTTTCCATGAGGCATTTAGCACCACTGCCAGTTACATAAAAAAGTAAAAACAAAAAGCCCTGAAAACTTTAATCCTAATAATGGCCTTGGGAGGTACGCTGTCTCCCTTTCTCCCATTTTATAGACGAGAATACTGAGGCTCAGATGTGTAGTTCAGCAAGTTACTTCACCTAAGCACAGAACGGGACTAATTCCCAGGCCTTGTTAGTCTGAGTTAGGGCCTCTTCACTGTGCCAGCCATGGCCAAGTGTCTGCAGGGGAATAGTAGATTTGGAGTCACCTTTTCTTCTGCCTGAGTTACTGGGCCCTCCAGAAAACAGGGTCCAGAGTGATCTGACTCATGTGGCTTCCCAGAACTCTTTGGATCTAGTTTCCCTAGCACGAGTTAGGTGAGCACTATGTTAACCAGTTCTTGTGTGTTCTCGGGACTAGTCTCTCTTGTCAACTGGGCCATAAGCTTTATTTCAGAGACAGGACCAAGTCTCCTATTCCTTGTAAATCAGCTACCAGCCTCAGAGAAACAGACTGTTTATCATGTGATGGCTTTTCATGGAGACCTTCCCTGCAATATCTCATTTCCACCATTCAACTTTTTGCCAGAGTGACAAAAAAATGCAAACAAAAGGGAAGAAACTAAATGAACCTCACTATCTATCTGTCCCCCTGAGTTCCTTTCAGTTGCTGAACCTCTTGGCCTCAGTCTCCTCATACATAAAGTGAGGATATTAATATGTTTGTTTTGTAGATCAAAATAAAATGAGATGCTGGGTGCAAAAACCTTGCATAAACTGTAAGGCAGTTTTCCTCTCTGATTTTCTCTCCTGCCATTCAGCCTGACTGTTCCGCCCTCCAATGAGAAGTAGGACTGTCTGCTGTTCTTTGCAAATCATTTCTTGGCAGAGCTGCCCAGTTGCATGAGTTGAGAGGGAATCAAATGGTCCCACATACAATAAAGGAGGAAGAAACAAAGCCTTCATGCTGAAGAATTTACTGAGCTTCTAGCACTTGTTAGGCAAATCTCTATTGCGTTCCAAGCTAAACTCACTCCAGAAGACCTGGAATCTTCTCTCTACCAGTTTTCAGTAGGGAAGTCTTGGTCACGTGATTTAATGTATCTGAGACTCATTTTTAAAATGTGAGAATGCTTGCCTCCCTGAGTTGTCATAGCAAATGAGGACATGTTATGCAAGGCAGTCGAAGTATGTGACATTTTCTCACCTCATTTTACTTTTTTCTCCCTTCTGTTTCCCTTCTAAGTCTCTATGCCTTGGCTTATTAGTCCATAAAATGGGAACAATAATCCCTGGCCTACTTAGCTCACAGGGTTGTTGTGTGACTTTGACATAAAGGCCATGGTAGGACTCTGAAAATAGTGAAGTGTAGTATAAATACCTGTATGGAGTTATTCTCGGGCTTGCTGACCTTGAGCTGGTAAGTCTTGTGTTAGTCCTCACAGGCCAGCCACCTTTACAAGGTAACTCAGCACAGTTTTTCTTACCGACTCTTCCTGAGGGCCCCGACGCTCTCCCATCTCTCTGCGAGGCTCTGCAGTCAGTCTCCTTAGACCTGTTATCCCTGTGCCTTGCCCCATTTTGGCTCTCTCGGGCCTTCTCTGGACCACAAGGCACAGAACCATCCAACCCACGATTCTCTGGATGCAGGAATGGTGCCTGCCCCAATCCTGAGGACTGCCCATCACATGACACTCTCCACCTCACTCCCCCAGCTTACCTCATGAATAAATACTAAAAAGACTCATTATGGGGAGATAAGGAAAACAGGAAGTGCTTCTGAAAGCTTCCAACAACCCCACCCCCTCCAGAGGCCACCAGTGTCTCTAGTGAGGAGTCCAGCCCCCTCTGCGGTTGAGGAAGAGCTGCTGTGTCTCAGACTCAGAGGGGACCATTGGGCCTGGAGCCGGGAGGGTGGGCCAGAGGCAGGGGAGCCAAGCTGCTGTATTCTGGGCACAATTTCAAGGCCAGCTGCAGGGAGAACAAGCAGTCGCTGTGCGCCTGCAGCTGGCTGTGGTTAGGCTAGGGCTGTCCCTCACTTGTGGTATATTTAAAGGGACCCCACCAGACTAGCAGCATGCCAACAGGAAAAATGCACACATATCCCTGTTAACCACACTCAGGCCCTGCCAAGGCATGGCCTCTCCTCCTTCCCCTGCGGCTCCCAGGGAGTATATTCACGTGTCAATTGGGAAGGACTGGCTTCTCAGCCTTGCCACACCACTGCCACATACCACCTGGGGATACAGGACCCTGGCTTCTGACCTCTCTGCTCTCTGAGCAAGCTGACCAGAAATTCAGGGGATTAGCTGAATGGATCCCTCCCACCCTGGTGTCGGTAACCCAGCAACCGGAGGGGAGCAATGAGTCAAATAGTGAGGCAGAGAACCTCTGGTTTTATGTTTTGTTTGTGGAGACTCCCTGGGAGTAGAGAGCACGGGGACACTTTGTGGGGAGTGGCGGGGCTCTCCCACATTGCTTTAGGCCAAATGTCCCTCTTCTAAGGGTTGCCTGGGCCCCAGTGCCCTCTATGAAAGTTTCATGGCAGAGCTGATGGGCTAGGAGAAACCCATCTTGGCTGAACTCTCTGGCTGCCTCTTTCAGTTGTTTTTGTCAAGTGAAAACAAGACTACAGACCTGAATCCCATGGGAAGATTGGGTTGGTCACTAAGAACTCTGGGCAAGAGAACTGATGGACCTGAGGTCCCACAGAGCAGAGACAGAGTGGGTGTGCATAGACGTTTGGGCCTTCAGGTGGCCAGAGACAAGGGGATGTCTTCAAAGCAATCACTGAGAAGACTTCAGGAAAGCAGCTTAGCAGAAGTGGGGTGAGGGGGTGGGAAGTGGGCAGCTTATCAACCAGGGGAGGGAAGCCCCCAGGCAAACTGTCTGAGGCAGGCTGCTACAAGTGCCGGAAGAGTTAGTAAAACACAAGTGCACTGACAGGACAGGATCGGCTACATAATTTGTGGGGCCCAGTTCAAAATGAAACCCAGAGCTCTTTGTTAAAAAGTTATCAAGAATTTCAAGACAGTGATAGAAGAGCATTAACCAAGGGCCCTTCTGAACACAGAGACCTTTGTGACTGCACAGATTACATACCCACAAAGCTGACCCTGGGTACCTATGAGTAAGCTCCTCGAAGCAGCTATGGAAACGGAGGCAGGTGAACTGGGGATTGTCTGGTCACCTCTGATCTCAACCTCCCTGTTCCCCATGCCTACTGCCCTGTGGCCACCAGTTTCCAGACTTTTGTCAGGCTTGGAATATTTCCTCTATCCCAATAGCAGCTCATTCCTTCGTGCTGGTGGTGACTGCGTCTTTGCTTCTTTGAAAAGGGGGGAGTAGCATGGTGAGAGGAGGGCTGAGGGCAGGAATGGACTGTGACTCTGGGCCCCAAGTTCTCCCTGGTCAGGCCACTGGAGCTCTCTGAGTGAGGTTGTGGAGGTGTTGGGGAGCAGAAGGGAGAAGCAGCACATCGACTCACAAGAAGAAGATATGTCCTGAGGGTGTGTGACAGTCCAGGAACAGAATCAAGGTCCAGGAAGCCATCTCCTTACTTGGTAACTTACCTCCAACTCAATGTGGTCATGGAGTTTCTTGCAGGTGGCGGCAAATGTCTCCGAGGTGCCAAATTCAAAGTACCACAGCTTGTTCTTCATCCTGGACCACAAAGCAGAGAGATGGCTCAATATTCCGTACTTGAAGTGGTCGTGTAAAATAGCTCAGCTATTTGCATCGGGAGGCCCTCAGCTCTCCCCAATCTTACATTTTCAGCATTTGTTAATTAGTCGATCAAGGAATAGAAATTTTTACCCTTTGTTCTTGCTAGGAACCTAGAGAAAATCCATTCATTTCTTAGACATCTTGGCAACCCTGGGTGAACTGCCAACTGCTTTCTGAGCTTCCTGGTCACCAACAAGAGAAAGACCTGTCTGCCTCTGTATCTGCATTAAGGAAGGAGTTCCATGAAAAATCAAACCAGATGTGGTGAACATTGATAGCATGCTCTGATAACTGTCCTTCCTATTATTCAGGCAGAGGCCTATTTTGGGTATGGTTAGGATATGAAGGAAAGATCATATAGCTTCTGAGACTTGAGGGATGGACCGTCTTAGAACAGAGGAGGGACAGTTCCACACGTGCCCAGTCAGTATGTGTATTGCATTGACTAGGCTCTGACTGGGGGAACCAGAGTGGCAAGAATTAGATGCAGATGTGCAGCAAGTTGGAAAGAGAAGGAAAAAGGTGAGTTGTTTGATAGCAATAATCATCTCCCCTTTCCTTGAATGCATTTGCTTAGGCCATGACAGTCCTTATCATATTTGCTTCAAAGTAAGAATTCACCACTTTGAGCTTTAACATTTTTCAACATTTTCCTTAGGAGAAAAAAATCAATCAGTGGTGTTCCCATACAGCTGGGGGCTTTTGCAAAGTCAGATGGTGTGTCCTGACACTTGGTGGTTTTGGTCAGATGGTCTCACCGGGAAGTGTTTCTGAAGGTATTCCTTTCCTTCCACACCAATTGTCACCCCATTATCAGAGGCTGGCTAAGATGAGGGACACCTGTCCACTTTATGAGCTGACAGATTTTGTTAAGGAAGATTAAACAGATTCACATTCTCCTTGGCACTCAGGAGAGAGGAAGCCACCTTGCACGTTGCTAATCCTCTCTCCTCAGATTTGTAGATAAAGGGAAAAGGAGCAGTCTTCAGAGGGAAGAGAGCTCTTATTTCTTCCTAGTTTTCCTTTGGCCATAGCAGATGACATTTCAGAATAACAGATACAACTCTTTTCTCTGTATTTCTGTAAGAGTCTACCGAGAACATGAAGATGAGACTGTGTTCTTCCACTGTATGAAGATTTCTGAATAGCTTTTCTGACTCTTAGTATGCATGAAAATAAACGATAAATGGTGAAGAAAATAAGAGAAAGCAAGGTCTAAGGTAGCATGCCTCATGAACAAAGTTAGAAAAACTGGGTGTACTTCCAGCAGACCAGCGCATCAACCTGTGTGCCTCAGCACAAGTACACCTGAGATATTTCCTCAGTCCGCAGAGTGGCCAGGTGGGGTCTGGGGCAGTATGAGTCCCAACATCATGGCAGACATTCTCATCTGTATTCCCAGTGTGTCAAGCACATGTTTTCATTTTCTCAGCATGCCATGATGTAAAAAAATATATACATATATTGGAAAACATTCTTCTAGATCACTGGTTCTCTGTTTGCACAGTAATGTGCACATATAAATTACCTGGAGATTTCATTAAAATGCAGAATTTGATTCAGCAGTTCAGGGTTGGGGTCAAAGATACTTCATTTTCTAACAAGCTGCTGATACTGCTGGCCTAGGGATTATACTTTGAGTCATGAGGATCTGGATACTACACCTATGATTTCCAAACATTAGTATTCATAAGAATGCCCTGGGTAATGTAATTAAAATGCTGCTTCCAGGGCTCCAATCTGTAGAAATTCTATGAGATAGTTGTGGAATTGAGCCAAGGAATGTGCATTTTTATGAGTGTCCAGGTGATCTCTACGCAGATGGTCAGTGAACAGGACTTTGAGAAGCATTGCTCTAGATTCCAGGAAAATGAAAACCATGGAAAAGGACAGAACTGGTTAAACCTGAAGGAGAGGATTCTTCAGAGAGGGCAGAATGAGGGTCAGTGACTTTCTTTTTTTTTCTTTTTTCTTTTTTTAAGAAAGAAAGGTGTATTTAAAAGTAAGTTAGAGAGAGAAAGAGAAGGAAGAAAGATTCACCTCCCCAAGGTGGGGGAGGGGCCAAAGCCAGGAAGCATGGAGACAGCCATAGCTCAAAAAGCACACGGCTACACCAGAGTCTAGCAAGGCAAGGGCCGAGGGTCAGTGACTTTCAATAGTCAATGATGACAAAGGACCAAGTACTGGGAAGAACACAGACTGTCATAAATGCTAAGGTTCAGAATTCCTTTGTGGCAGCAAGAGCATCTCTGTAGCCAGGAGACTTGCATTGTGATTCCATTTTCAAATATCACCGCTTGTCTGAATCATGACTTTTGAAAGTTACTGCCAGTAGATTTAGAGTTTTAATAAAAATTTCCAGAAGCCATGGCTATTTTTGCCCAGTAGTGGCTCTTCTGATGATTTAATAAGGTGAAAAGGTCACGGTTAGGTCAGTATCGCAGAATGACTGAGAAGATCAAATAGCCTACTTATCAATTGCTGGCTGTGTAACGTTTAACAAGTTATTTAACATTTTAAAGCCTCAGTTTCTTCATCCATAAAATAGAGATGAGAAAAAGATATGCTTCAAAATGCAGCTGAGTAGTTAAATAAGATGATAGCAAAAACACTACATAACACTTCATGCATAGTAGGCTCACCAAGAATGTTAACTATTTTCTTATTAGCTATTATCACTTCAGTGCCTTTAGTTGGCATATTTGGATAGCATAATAAGGCAAAAATAATAAATGAGTTTGTGAGGCTGTAGACATTATATATTCATATTTTTATGGGCAAGAACAATATGCGATCATATTTGTTAGATCACGTGTCTTGATTTTTGCTTAAAAAATATGTTCCCCTCATGTCTAGTTTAATCGATTTTTCCAGCGTTGTAGACCACATCCTAATCCTTGACTGATTATCTTGACTGGTAACATGATTGGCCAAAGATGTGATGCTGATTGCTAATATGGGTCTATGAAAGTGCATGTTGGGTGTGAGAAAAAGTATTTATCAGTTCAACAAACATTCATTGTGTCAGGGACTAGAGGGGGTGTGCTAGGTACAATGAAGAACTAAACAGCATTCCATAAGTCAGACACCTGGAAAGGACAGATAGGAAGTAGACCATAGTGTTGTAGGGCACGCACCAAGCAGTAGAGTACATAGAGCAAGGACATCCATTTCTTAGTGAGGTCAGAGCTGGTTAGAGAAATCATTCTAGGTGGTGATGCCAGAGTTCAGAAGGATGTGGAAAGGAAACAAAGAAGGTAGAGGATAAGCATTCCAGGAAAAGGAGGAAGACCAAGTAATGGGACAGACAAGAGAGATTGCAGCCCTGCTACTGGAGGGGATACAGAACTCAAGATAGGGGTTGACCAGAGAAGACTAGAGAAGCAGACAGGAGCAAGATTGTGAAGGGTGAAATGCCATGCCTAGGTGATAGGCTTTATCTTAAGGTCTACAGGGAGTCATGGACCATCCTTCAGTGTGGGGACGGGAGGAATGGTGGAGGTGGTGGCAGTAGTGACCTGAGCAGATTTATGTTTTTTTTCAAAGATCATCTTTCTAGGTGTGGAGAGTAGATTTGAAGTTTTGAAGTAGAGTATAGACAAGAGACTTGGAGAATAGCTTGGAGATGGTGTAGAATTCCAGGAGAGAATTGGGAAGGGCCTGTACAAGGACGGCGACAGCAGTACTGGGGGAGAATAGTGGAGGAGAGTCACAGCTAAAATTTAGGGAGTTGACAGGGCTGATCAGTTGTTTGGAGTGAGAGAGAGAGAATAGTCAAAGTGACATCCAAGTTTTTATTTTGGACAGCTTGCTAGACGGCAGATGCCATTTCCTAAGATGGGCACAGGAGATCGATTTTCCATTGGCAGTCCTCTTTGTAACCGAAATATAGCACTTTTGTTTTTGGCTCATATGTCCATCCTCCATCCATCTATCCACCCATCCACTTGCCCACTGAACATTTTTTAGCATAACTGTGGGCCAGGCATGGTGTAGGGCTTGGAAATAAGTGATGAATAAGATATGCAGAACCTCTGCCCTCACAGAGCTTATACGTGTTTAATAGTTTCACCAAGGCTCTGACATTCAACCTCTGACCCACAGGAGATGTGGTTTTTAGATGTGTCCAAAATCTAAATGCTTCCATTTCCCCTCTTTTAACTCAGCTGCTTTTTGGCTAGAAGTGAATACATTCCATTCCTACAGTCCATTGGTTTTGTACTCTGCCAAACATTTCACATACACTGTCTCTTTCATTTCTCAGAAGAGCCTTAGAAGAAGGTTCCTCTAAGATTTACTTATTACCACAAATAAGGAAATTCACCCATGGAAGTGAATTCTCCTCCATCTCATCTTTTTCTTCCTCCTTTTTCTTGCCACCATCACCAGCACAGCACCACCACCATCACCTTTCCAAAGTCTTTGGGAAAACCCTACAGACACATGATACTCTACAATTTGAGGTGGGAGACATAGCCCTCACTCTTCCTGACAACCAGAGAGTCTGAATGCAATGTTCCACCTCCCCCCCCCCCCCCCCCCCCGTTTTTTTTTTAAAGATATCTCCTAGCCACATTGCTCTTATCCCTTGTTGGAGAAATGTGGTACTGGGATTTTGTCTGTTTCATCTTCTGTTGTATAAGGACACGTCATTTGGGAGCTGAGAGGCTAGGGTTCATGCCTGGCTTTGCTGCTCACTGGCTGGGCAAGTTATTTCAGTTCTTTAAACCTTTGTTTCTCCTTTTACAAAATAGGAATATTATTTTATGTCCAATGGTGTTGTGAAGCTTACATGGCAAACACAAAGCATCAAACAGGTGTTGAATGTACAGTAAGTGCTCAATAACAGTTCTTCCTTTGCTAGGAGACATAGTCACTGGAAGACTCATTCCACAATGGCTGCAGGGGTAAGGACAAGAATAGTGTGGGAATCTCTC